ATAAACTTTTAAATAAAATTTTGGCCAAGTTAGAACCCAGTCTTGATGTTCCCTTCTTTTTCATGCTCACAACTGTTTCAGTAATTAAATGCAGCACAGGTATGACATTGGAATGCTTATGAAGTTAGGTCAGTCATGCAAATGTGTCTTCAAGCAAATTCAGGGATGCTCGATCTGTGAAAAAGAGGCAGTCCTGCACATACAGTGCACTAAACTAGTTTAACCTGGGGTTGGTTTGTTTATTTATTATTTGGGCCTTCTAAGCCACTTCAAACTTAGTCAGATTAATTGCATTATTAGTTTTACAAAAGTGCTAAAGAAAGTTTATTGCAGTCTTGCTTATGGCATTTGCATATTATTTTGATCAGCTGCTAATGACCTACCTGGAGAGGTCTAGTTTTGGCAGTAGGGTAAAAATTGCTGCATTTCTAAACAGCGTTGCTAATTCAAGACTACTGACAACAACTCTGTATAGATGTTTGCAGAATAGACTTTGCTTAAAGGTTTTCTTCTAATTATTTCAAGCCTGATCAAGATGAACAGGACCACTTTTTTGACAGAATATCAGATAGCTACGTGGCGCTTCTCTGGAGCATCCCCAATTACATTAAAGATGCTTTTCTTCAGGTAATGATGTTGTTTGCAATTCTGAATTTTACTCCTTCTATTTTTTATTTGTCCTGTTCAGAGAAGAGCAAAAGGTGTCATCTTTCTGTCTCATTATCACTTAATTTAATCAATTTCTGTTGATGAACACACCAGAATCCTTCAACCTTTCATTCTCTGACATCACTTCAGGCTCTGTTATTGCCTCTGAAGTTTTTTGTTTAAATCGTTCGTGGTAATCTTAACTACTTAGCATACAACTCTAGCAAAGCTTGATAAGGAGATTTGTGAATCTAGCTAACACCTTCCTGGATAACACAGAAAAGGAGAAGAGGTTATACTTTATTTCCATATTTGCTGGTCGTTTCATAATCAGAATTCCTTGGGCAGTGAGCACTCACTTTAAGAACTGCAGCCTCTTGATAAGAAAAGGACTGTAAGCAACTTGGTACCTTCTAGATTTAAGACCTGACGGGGTTGACATGCTCCAGGTCCCGTCATTGTCGTAGCACTGATAAAGTTTGCCTTCTGTAGGCGGACAGGCAGAGTCAAGAGAGGAATCAGCTTGGAATCACTGTGTTGCCACAAATGGTCTTAGTACAACCCCTCTTGAATTCTGTTAAATCTTAGCTAGTGCCAATTTAGGTGTGGCTGTTAGTTGACTAGATTCTTGTATATAAGCATGAGCAATAGGTCAGCTTAAATGAAAGTTAACCGGTGGTCCTAATTCTGGACCCCTTACACCTTCTTTATGATGGCCCTTTGTGGCTTTTAAAACCTCTGGCTTTTAGGAAGACCCACCCACAAGCTCTGGCCCCACAAACTTTCAGTTTGCAGTTGTTAACTGCTATTTTTCATACTCTTTTCCTCCCTAGAATGGTTGTTTTTTTATTGTTAATTGTTTTTTAGTCCTGTGTAAGCTATCCAGAGTTACAAGGAGTGGGGCAGACTTAGAAATTGAGTAAGTAAAATAAATATAGTCTCCCAGTTAGGATGTTATAGCCTCAACTGATCTGAAAAGCAGCAATTGGAGAAGATAATTCTAACATACCTTTTAGTCTCAGGTTAAGCTGCCTGCCCTGTGTTCAGCACCTCTTCTAAGATATTAGGGCTTTTCGTTATAATGTTCCTATTACCACAAAATTAGTGTGATGAAATTAATTTTAATTAATTTTAAAAAATTGATGAAGATGCCTCCTTCCTGATTTGCTCATAAGTTCATTTGCTTCACAGTAAGCTAAACTGCCACCCAAACCTGCGATGTTCTTGGACAAACCTTGTATTTTTGTCACAGTTGGTGATTAAGCAATGTTTGAATGCCTGTTTATTTATTTATATTTATATATATAAGCATCACCCAGTTTTTACAATGAACTTAATTTGCAACTTGGCAGATGTATCCTGACTGCTTGTCCCAAGCCATTTACATTACTTTCTGTGAAGCTTTTCCTCAGACTTGCCATCGTTTCAATGATCAGTTTAAAGACGAATTGATGGATTTAATTTTCCTGTGGATCAGAGGTACTAGAATGTTGATTATTTTTCCTTGCAGTTGCTGGCAGTAGTTGTTCACATAGTTGCATCTACTCAGCATTTTCTCTATGAGTTCTTCAAAAGTATCATTCAGTTAGAAGCTAGCATTAAGCCACTGAGAACAACTCATTTCAAGAACCCCAATTAGAGTATCCCAAACAGATGGTTGCCCAGCCTTTATTTGAACACATTCCAATAAGGTGAGCCTGCCATGTCTTCTCAATAATTAGTTCTATCATTGAACTGTTCCTGCTCATAGAGGTTTTTTTTTATAACATTCATTTATAATTTTCCTCTTAAATCCATCGTTCTGTGTCCAACACTCTGGAACAACCCACAGATGTCTTTTGACTTTTCTTCCATGTGGCATATTGAGCGATTGGAGTTCTAGTCATCCCTTGGCCTTGAAAGCCAACGGGATAATTCTCATGGCCCAGTCCACCTCACAGGTTTTTGCAGAGTAGGAAGCAGGATCCTTATGTACACCGTCTTGCTTCGTACAAAATAAAGCTGAAATAAAAAAAATCTAAGAATGAGAAAATTTTAATATCCCCCACAAAACCATCAAATTGTAGGATGTAACCATCAGAATTGTAGGATTTCAGGACCACAAGGACCAATTAACCCAGATATTCCCCAAAGTGGTCAGTATTAACCTTCAAAGATTGTCCATTGTTGTTATACTATTATTATTAATAATAATATTATAGTATTATTATTCAAAGTAACATTAGTTAAAATAGTATGGTACTTATTAAATTGTTTGTGGATCAATGAACAATCTGCAATGTCATAAAGGGGCCAATTATCTGAAGAGTTTGGGGACCTCTGATCTAGCTCAAAAACATTTGGTTGGTTAGTATTATTCAGTTCATTAGTTGCCACTCTTACAGGTTTTAAGCCACAAAGATTTGCTTGGAAAAACTGGAAGTGTCCCTCCATGGAAAAACCTAGAAAATCCACAGCAGAGAAAGAGCCTTCTTCTCAGATATCATCGTTTATAAAACTACAGCCTAGAAGGACAGCATCAAGATCACGGTCAGGTTCCAGTTCAAGGTCAAGTTCAAGGTCAAGATCAAGATCAAGATCAAGAACAAAAATCTGTAAGTACCAGGAAAGAGGATTATTCAATGGTTGTTTCAGAGCTTTGGGGACTTTATTTATTTAGCGTATGACAAAGTTACATTCGCCAGGAGACCACAGTGCTATTACAAAGGAGTCGTTTGGCAGCCTAAGTCTGTTGGTATGTTCTGTTCACGCTCACATGCTATCCAGAGTGCACCACAGGGGCAGACTAGCTCCATACTCATAAAATTTTGCAGCAGCATCTGGGCTTTTCCCTCCACCCATGTCACCTAACGCTCAGGCGTCACATTTGGATTGGCACCGGTTGAGTTTGTACAGTTGTTCAAAGCGTTGTTTTCCCCTACCGGCCTGGTGTCTCTTTATCTACTTGCATTGTGCCTGCTTTCAAACTGCTAGGTTGGCAGGAGCTGAGGTGAGTGACGGGAACTCACCCTGTCCCACGGGATTAGGGCTCGAACTGCTGGAGTACAGACCTTCTCCAGCTGCCTTAAGCCATTGAACCACCGGACCTCTCCACTATGTGGAGTGAGGTATGCCAAAATCGGTAACTTCTTTAGAATACTATTTTCAGTTCTTCAACTATAGTCTTACATAGCAATATCCACAAGTAATGATAATGAGATTTATGCAACTCTAGACTGCTGTTTTGTTTCCATTGTGGGAATGTCTTCAAGATTTTCTGGAACATCACGTGGGCATTCCTGAAGGGATCTGTGAGTTATGAAGCTCATTACTGATTATTATCCTTGATGTACAGATCAGTAATGTATGTGATATATATGTAGCTACTGCAGTACCTCCAACTATCAGTTGAGGACGTAAACAGGAGGCTGCTATGGCAGTCAGGGTGACTTCTGAAGATATCTAATAACATGGGGAACAATACTGGATATGTTACCTTAGGGACTCTTTTCATTTGCTGTGAATGAAAATTGGTCCATATCCATTTGCTTATTAATCCTTTTGGAAAAAAATAAAATAACCAGTGGTTCCAATTGTGAAGCCCAAGGGAAGAAGCTGGTTTTTATTTGGAGCAGGCGTGATGCATATTTTCTGGCCCTCACACCACGGTGGCTCCATTCTTTGTGGGGGGGGGGGCAGGGGAGGAAAGTTTGCAGTTAATGTCACGCCTGGTTTCTCCACCCGAGGATTTGGCCATTCTGAGCTTCTTCCATTAAACCGTCGGAATTTGCCATCTGAATGGATAGCTTCATATTTGATCCGGATCGTCCTGGCAGGCGAGTTCTTTTTTTCTCACTTGACTTCTCAAGCCACTTTTGTCACTTTCAAAATATTAGCAGCAGCCTTAACTGGCAAGGGACATGGGTTTTGGGGTTTTTGCTTTTTTGTTTTTGTTTTTGCAAACAGGGGTTGTTACATCCGAAACTTTCATTGTAAGAATTGCCACAGTCTGTCATTTTTGTCTCTCATCCAGTACATATTGGCAGGAGTTTTGTGTACCAGACTTCATGTCTGGTCATATAAGAGCAGAAAAGAAAGGGCTGCTAAGCCAGACTGTTTTGATACTTCTTTGGAATTAAAAGCATATGAAACAGATGCATCTTGATAATTTTTTTTATAAATAACATCAACTTAAATAACTTAAAACAATAAAGTTCAATTATAACTTAAAATAAAGTTTAATGCTGTAACCACAGAAAAGCATGAATATCGGTTGGAAAAAAAAAACTTAGAAGCCATATGCCCAAACAGGAAGTATATAAAAAGATTAGGTTATGTTACATAAAAACCGCTATGATGTTGTCTGAATTTTGTTTACTTCATCGTTACATAAAATGATATTTTGAGGAAAGTGAGATGAAATACATTTCCCTTATTAATATTATTTAATATTACACTATTTTGTAACATCTTTCAGAGCAGCATTAGGCATTCTTACTGATAGATATGAATACATTGCAGTGATGCAACTTTCATCTGTCATATTACCTTTATTGTCTGAATACCACAGTGTTCCAATTTCAATTTGCTTTAATACTTAATACCTTTATTTATTTATTTATTTTTCCTGGGAAGTATTTAATACTGCTTAGCCTTCACGATTCGTACTGACTTGATCATCTGAAGACTTAATCCAGCAGCCATCAAGTCCGTCATATTTTACATAACATTTTCATCTGCTTTATTATTATTATAGCAGCCATGTTTAACGAAGCAGATAGGTTTATTTTAAATAAAAGATCATCAGATAATCAAGTCATGAACAAGGCGCAAAGGGTACATTTAATTTAAGAATCTGCAAAGCTACTCTTATGCTAATGTAAGGATCGTACAACTCTTTACAATTTTTTACAACTTTTAGTTACTAAATCTGTAGTGTATATTTTCATTTATTTATTTATTTATTTTATTTATTTATTTTTAAAGCCAGTCTCTTTAAAATAAAACATCATGCTCAAGTCCAGCTTGTTCAGTTTTTCAGTAGTATTCCAGCTTGTCTTCCTTTCAAACAGTCCCTTTTTCAAATGATACATATATATGTATATCTCATTTGATATATACATATATATATATTGCTGGAACTGGTTGTCCATAGTTCGTATAAGATTAGGATACTGCAAATGGAAGAAAATGGGAGGAAGTGTCTTCTTTGCTTGTTTTTTGGCCTCTTTTAGGGGCTCCATTCTGCTTTAATGCGATGTACATTTCTTTCCCTTTGTGGGTCCAGTTTGCTGAAGCGTAGGTGTTATAGTGATTCTCTTGAATGAGTTCTACGAAGTTGCAGTCTTCATTGCACACTTTCTGTTGTTTAAAAGAAAATGAGATGATCAGTTGAATACCAAGAATACCTGGCCGGGGGGCGGGGGGGGGTATTATTTCACAAAATTCCTATTGTCATTGAAGTAAGTAGCAATAGCAATAGCACTTAGACTTATATACTGCTTCATAATGCTTCCCAGCCCTCTCAAAGCGATTTACAAAGTCAGCCTCTTGCCCCCAACAATCTGGGTCCTCATTTTACCCATCTCGGAAGGACGGAAGGTTGAGTCAACTTTGAGTTGGTCAGGATCGAACTGCTGGCAGTGGGCAGAGTCAGCCTGCAATGCTGCATTGTAGCCACTGCATCACCATGGCTCTTCCTTCTTTCCTTCACCCACCTTCCTTCCTTCCTTCCTTCCTTCCTTCCTTCCTTCCTTCCTTCCTTCCTTCCTTCCTTCCTTCCTTC